GGAGAATATTAAAGCTTCATCTGTCCCAGAACCGGTGGGCTAGCCCGAACCCACGGGTATGGCCCCTCTGCTGTGGGTAGGGCCGCGCATGTGCCCATGCTGTGCAACAGCATAATTTGTTACGCGGTCCTGCCACAATAAATAAGGGGAAACCGTCATAGCTAATGGTGCCTGTTTCACCGTGCTAAATAAGGTCAAGGGTAAATTATAAATTTTTGTAGATAAATGAAGGACCTACTAATAGGACTAATTTTGGATTAACTGCCCGATCAGTTGGTGAAGTCTGGGCGCAAAACCAGAAGCGCAGGTTTGAATCCCGCAGCGCAGAAAGTTTATGTAGTGTGTACGAAAATTAACAGGCCGATTGCGAGCCGAACCATTGCGAGCATGTGTCAACTACGAGTAGGCAAGCGGTTACCTCATTTAAGACGATTTAATTGAAGGAACTTAACTAGTACTATATAAGAAGCAGTGATTATCAATCTTTATTTACACCGACGAGGATAAAGTGTTCGAAGCTTGTAGTTAACATAGAGTTTGAACCGAGGTTTGCTCGGTTTTTTTTTGGTAAATCATGTATTTTTGAAATTAAAAAAAATAAAAAAGAAAGAAAGCAATGATCTGGTATAGAAAAAAAAGTAAAAAAAATAAGTGTGTAAATGATCGTGACACGAACCGCAGCCTTCTGTTTCGGGGCCGCCCGATTACCGACCGAGCTATTGTAACATTTTTTTTTTCGGTGAAATTTACCGTCACATTCGAATGATATTTTTCATTCCCTGAAAACGGGGATAAAAGGACATTTTCTAAAAATGAAACCTAGTTTCGATTTTTTGCCCCCGAATCTACGCACATACTAAATTTCATGAAAATCGCTGGAGCCGTTTCCGAGATTCCGATTATATATATATGTATATACAGCGTGTCGTTACCATCGCGACAATAAATGAATACACGCATAACGCTACTTGCCAATAATCATAAAAAAATATTAATGTTAAACAAAATCCATAATTAAAAAAAAATATTTTTCAAACAAACTAATTAAGTAAAAAAGAAACAAAATTTGTAACATCCTATACAACTCGCGCCACAGCGTCGTATTACAAGCCTCTCCTTCTAACAGTATGTTTTGTCTCTTTTAAATTCATTCAACCCATTCATATGCTTTTGTGACCATTACAAATGAACTTTACGTTACGCTTTTATAGGTAAGGGTGTTCTAAAATTCTTTGACTTGGAAAATTTAATAAATCTGTAAATATTGATGTTTAAAGAATTTAAATGTTTAATACAACTTTAAAAAGTTATCCCCTATATGTGTGTTCATTTATTGTCGCGATGGTAACGACACGCTGTATACACAAGAATAGCTCGTTTAAAGGTATTAGATAAGAAAGGTGAATTGTTGACTAAAACATCTCTACCTATTACAGTTTCGCAGTGAAGTCTTGCCCTCCTTCCACTTCCTGTCATATCAAAAGACGAATCGCCCTAGTTCCGTTTGGAATGTTACCAAATTAAGTTGGCACAGACCACACGAACAAGAGTGTATGTTTGGACGGTACAAATGATATAGATGTTTCACATTTTCAAAGGCTAGCGAGCCAAGAAAGTTTGGTAAAAGTAAAAAGGCCAAGGCAAGGAAAAATTAAAGATTTTAATTACATAATTGACTTCTTCTGATAACACCACCAGATGAATTTTATTGCCCGTTTATTACAAATTTGAATTCGCATATAAGTCCGGCGAGGAAATTCGAGTAAAATTAAGAAATCATAACTGTTAACTTATTTAATTTGATAATAAATTACACATTGAGTGTGCTCTTCGCCTTTGTTGATCGTGGGGTACGGCATAATGAGCATTTGTTTACCACTCGTTTAGAGTTTATAGAAATCTTTTGAAAAACGTTCACAACATTAAAATTTATATATGTATTTAAATGCTTATGTTCGATTCGATAAAGTACGTATCGGCATCGAACCGGAACTAAACGGGTAGCGGGTGCGTCCGTATCCAAACGGCGGCTCTCGCCTCATTTGTGACGCAAAACGGTCCGATGACTCGTCCAGATACTCTCATTAGAGTGGTTTACGCTGTTAATCTAAATTTACTTATGGTCAAGGTCAACAAGAACATTTCGGTTGATTTTTTGGGCGCGTAAATATTTTTAGCAGTGTATCGCGGTCTTCTGCCAAACCAAATAATGGTAAGTCACACCATTAAACATTGGGTGAACACAATAACACGTTAACTGATACGTAGTCACAGATATGAAAAAGAAAGGTTTTTCGTAGTGCTTTCTGTTGTCAAATGTATTTTCGAATATCTTAAAAACGTAAACCACCGAGAATTGGGATCAAGATGCAAGCTCCCGAAATCGCGAGCCGACAGAAATATTATTATGCAAGACCTGGATCAAGGCGACTTCCTTAAAAAGTACAATAGATATTCTCCATTCAAACCACTATTCAGCAAACAAATTAAATGATTAACCTCCAATGATAACCGCGTGTATAAAAAACATAAGAAATACATTGCCCATCACGTTTAACGAGAAAAAAGTATTAATAGGAGTTTAATTATTATTTTACGCTGTCTTCGTGCCTTCAAATCGCAAAATCGGGGCAAAAACTAAGGTAAACCTTACGTAATGAAATATAAATTTACATCCATTAATTTCCTTTGCAGGTGGCGTGTTACGGGCGTTACGCGTATAGGTATGACCCAAATGCCGGCTGTACAGTAGACTCGGGACGCATTACAGTTGCCTTGTAACGAACATCGCTACAAAAATACGCGAACTGTCTTAGGCAGCTACCGATCGTTGTATATTTAAAAATATATTTTTAACAATATGTAACTTTTATTTAGCTATACGTATTTAGCTATTACTGAAGGTCAGTTGCACGATTATCATCAATGGATGCCCTAAGAAGTCCTTAGCTTCTTCGGACACATTGTGCGAGCCATGACCAAGGTACTGTTTGGAGAAGCAGACCGGTTTGGGCCAAATGGACAGCGGGTACACTCAGAATACTACTTACAAGATGGCCTGACGCAGTTACGAAGGCGCCCAGGCGGGCGGAAGCATGCAACGTGCGATCCATACAGTTTGACGTCACCCAATGGAGGTTTTTAATATTTGGTCACGCTCCTTTGCCATGAGTGACCGAAGAAGAAAAAGGTCATGCACCGTTGTTTTGGATCGAAAATTCTTATCGAACGAGATGTAGCAAGACTATTTGAGTCAATATTAGTGTAGTCGGAGCCATATGTAGTTTGATAAAAAAATTATCAATAAATTGAATTGACAAGTAAGTCTGGCGCATGAATGGCATTCAACGGACAGCCTTGTGCCATTCTTCAGCATTGCCCGCATTAATTTAAATAAATAAAAAACGTTCACAATATAACGCGACAATATATTCAGAATAGTATAAAAAGCACTTCAGAAATTTAAAAATTTCGAGAAGTTTTAGAATTCAGATATTTGCAGGCAATTTGAAGACGATGATATAGTATATATCATAATTATAAAGTGTATTAAGAACTGCATACAGCTCTAAAGAACTGAAAGTCTTCTTCCAAAGAACTGAATAATCGGTTTAAATAAAAAGCAATTAACGCCCGAACATACGCATTGCGTAAGCATTAGAGTAGAAAGGATCAGTGATGTCCCAGTGATTAGGACATCGGTCTTTCGAACTGATATCGCGAGTCACAACAGAGATATTTCTTACGTGCGAACATCTGTTTCATGCTTGCGCTAGTTGTAAGATAACACGGCTTGGCTCTTGCCTCGTTTTTAAATGTAATAGTTAGTTAAAATTCCTAAGAGATACCGGTGTTCATTTCAATCTCTACAAATCAAAGATTGAAACGTCATCGATTGAGCTTAACTATGAAGAAAATCTCCACAGTACACTTTAACTTAAACAAGACAGGGCATCATAGTTACTACAACTTTTTGCCATGTAAAAATTCAGCCAAATACGCTCTGGGCAACGTCGGTAAATAAATTTCTTATAATGTTGTATTGTAATCAACTCAAAGATACAAATCAATTTTCACTTGAAACATATGAAGGTGATAAAGTTACTGCGAGTCAACATTAAAAAGTGTATGCGATCTGAGTTAAAATTGTTCATCGAACTGTAAGAAAAACTGGACCAGTTTATTCCTTACACGTAATGGTTCAACGATGAGCCGAAATTAGCGTGTTTAACTTTCACGAAACTGGCACAAGGCGAGATGTACGACTCTTTCATGTTTTGGTAACATCATACGAAATAGGTAATATATATATTTATTATTTTAACTCTTACAAATCAACAAACATTGTTTTTTCTCGGCGTTGGACCAAGTGCGGCATTCGAACAACGATTTGCTTTTCGCTTAGATAGAATTTCTTTTAGATGTTTCATTTTTTACGGTTTTCAATAATTGTTTAATACGATTTAAAATTAATCGTATTGGTGCATCACTTAACACCTTTAACATTCTCTTGTTTAAGCAAAATTTAAATCAAATATACAATAATAAATTATACATTGACATCTGTAGAACGGATATCTATTAATATAAACCATATTCAGGTAATTTAGAAAGTAGATACTGTGTAAAAATAGACTGCATTTTTATTGATACTGACTCTTATATTCGTCGAAGTTTCAAGATCTAGATCAAATCTATGAGTCAATAGCATTTGATTTGATAGCAAGTGTCTTCCACATTCACATATGCCTCACATATAATGACTAGAATATTGCAACAGCTGATATCGCGACGATGTTTTTATTATTGATAACTTGTATGAATATTTTATAATGATAGCTTGTTCCCCGGATATAGTATTGGGTCACCAATACTACATGATTGTATTGGATCAATCTGGCAATTCCCCAAAGATTCTTATTATTACTTTGAAATGAACACTGCGTTGGAGAGGACGCGAGTGAAATAATAGCAAGACATAAAACATAGTCAGAACTCACATCTAACTCCAGCTCTAGTTTGTTGATCTCGTCCGTGGCAGCGTTCAACTTCTCCAACTCCACCTGGAAGTTGACGAACAGCTTCAGACAATCGCATGGCACACGCACCTCATACTCCCATACGTGTGGCAGCAGCAAGCAACATGTAGAGACGGGAAACTTACGAGACATTTCAAAAAAATCTACTACGAAACGTAACGCGCTTAAGCATTTATCATTCTGTCAAGATAAACAACTCTTTTATCTGTATATGTACCTTATTGTGACGTTTCCTGTCCCTACTAGAAGAAGCGACTAACGCAAAAAGAAAATTTTGTACTTACTTATCACAATCTTGACTAGGTGTTAGCGTTTCGAAAAGAAAATCGCACTAAGTATGCTTAATTACAATTTTATTTCAAATAATCATGATGTAAATTGTTAACATACACACTACAATACATGCCATAGATTTTACATTACAAAAATATTTCAATGCACACTCTTCCATCATAAAATTATTGTGTGATCCATGTTTATTTTTAGACATTAGAAACGGTTCGAGAAAATGTCGGTATAAAACGCACAATCAATTGATTTGGAACAAATAAAAAACAAAACAAAACTTATTACTTAATAGACAATAAAGTAATGGAATGGTTCACTTGTACTAGAATAATGTTTGCACTAAATATGGACTCATTGAACACTTCTCTTTTGGTAATACAGAAGGTTATGCCTTAGGCCAAAGAAAAAATATTTATGTAACAATATATATGAAACAAAAAAGATATAAAATGAGATTACACATGAGTAAAAATACCATAGATATACTTGTTACAATAATAGTGATAGTGAAACTAAAAAAATCCTCTAACAATAAAAAATGAAATAACTAAGTTATTTTACGGTGGTTGCAGTACATTCTAAATGCTGACTTGTGACATCAGACAATACAGTATTTATGACACAAAATATATAACACTTAGAGATTCAATTACAAGCAATTCATCCCATTAAACCCAATTAGATTGTCCAACTGATGTCAAATTTCAAAAGTAAATTTATATGCATACATCTGTATAATGAAATGAGTTTTTGAATTTTAATATTGGTGGCCTTAATATTACAGTATTATGAATTAGGCCTCAAATGAAGTTATTATGAAATAAGTTGAATTTTCATTATTACTTAGGAAAACCTAACTATTGCGGTTACATATCATTTACATATATGATTCTAAACCTAACTATATTTGTTAGGTTTATGTTAAACATTTTTTTTAATTCTATTATATCATTTTTGGTTTGATTGACCACAAGAATCAACCCTAAATCATTAACAAATAAATTTAATGAGAGAGAATACAGAATACCGTCAAACAAATTAAATTGTGCTTTAATTAAAAACACTATAATTAACAAATAAATTTCTCACAATTGATGTTAAAGCTTGCCTTTATGTCAGGTTAAAATTTTTTGTTTTATAGAAAATCATTATCCATATCAATTTGCTTAAACATAAACTGGATGTGATGCTATGAAAATCTGTTCCAAACGGACTCTTATAAACTATTGGCAATTAATTCAAATTAATTAATGAGGGCAATTTCAGAATATATTACATTCATAACATAGGTTAGTCTGTATAATGGCACATATCTACTTTGAAAATAAGTTACATAATATAGTGATAATATACTTGTTAATAATTTTAATTAAAAATTACAACTAAGTGTTAAACATGACAATTGACAATTTTTGTATGTGATTCAAATGTAAATCATAATAATGGACAGGAAACAGTCCTATAAGGTACAAACATATACACCTCAACCAAAAATATGTTACAAAATAGTATCATTGCATATTCTGTACATACATGGGAACAGTTACAAAGTACTTGTTTAATTCATAAGGAATTGGACCTTCAGTGAAAATCGCTATCACAAATATATTTGCCCGAGACAAAGCGGCGTTTCACCAGGGATAGGCGATATCCGCTACCAATGAGTTCAAATTCTATTCCAGAAAGAGTGGCTCCTTCACAGTTAAACTGAGCAGAGATAGTTCCTTTAGATGAGGGACCACTATTCAGTTCAAATCGCGCTCTCAGTGATCCCACCCCTCGGTCTTCTGAATGTTGAGATAACTCTGTAAATCTCCAAAGCGCCTGTTCATTTTCACCATTCCAAATATTTTTGGGCATTGCAATAACATTCTTTACACCACCATTCATTGGTACATAGACAGACACATTAAGAAGAGGGGATGGTGGACTCATCGCATGAAGATTATATTTATAATCGACCTTGAGGTCCGTATGGTCTCGCTCGCATTTCCAATATGAAACTAATTGAAAAGGACATGATGCTGCACCTGTTTTTGGGCGTATTTGATATTTCAAAATGTCCACATTAAAATATTGAGCTGTGGGATTCTTTTCAGATTGTCTTTTTAATAAAGAAGTTAATGCGGGCATATTAAATTCAACAACAGTTGTATCCCTTGTAGACATCATTGTGTTAATACTGATCAGTTGCTTATTAGGCAAGACATTATCAAGTCTGTGTATATTTTTCAGTCTAAAACATAATTTTGCTGGATTAGGATTGTTTGCTAGAACCCCCACTATGCCTGTTGGAAAAGACAACATCATGTCTCCAGACATTTTTACTTGACATTTACCCTCTTCTGTACCTCGAAAATAGGAGTGTATAATTTCATGAAAAGCAACTGCAAGAGGTATAGTATCCGCCATCCCAATTGTAAGGGGAGAAGGACCTCTAGATCCTGAAGATCCTGCTGTTCGAAAATCACCCTCGGAACGCCGTGAAGGTGGCCTTGGGAGAGAAATAGTTGTTATTGTGGGGGTTGATGTCCTAAAATTGGACTGTACTAAATCACCCACTTCTGAAAAAAGATCTCCAACATCAGCAGTTGACACTGGGGTAGGACTTTCCAGCATATGTGATTGGTTACCCTGCAAGGGCGCATAAGGGTTTGAGACATTACCATGAGGTGAGGCTGGATTGCTAATGTTGGGACTTTGAAAGAAATTCAAATCTAAAAGATCACTACTAGCCTTGCTTGTATTTGCATTAGAGCCACGACGAGTTGTACCGATCTTGTACAAGGAAATATTTTCTACAGTGGCTCTAAGTTCATCTACACTAGCTGACATAGGTGCACTACCATTGCTTATGGGTTTGATTTCAACATGTATTTTTTGTTCTCTTTCTTCTTCAGAATCAGAATCAGTAGAAGAATAAACACTACCCTTTTCATCTTTAGGTCTAATACAGAAGCCTTCTTCATCAACTTCTGGAGAGTTCATTAAATCATCTTTAGTTGGGACTTCTTCTTCTTTTTCTTCTAAATCGGATCTGTCACCTGTATTAGAATTTTCAGAAATATCATCTTTTTTCTTTTTAAATTTTTTATTTTTAGTCTTAGTGCGTCTGCTACGAAACCATTTTGATTCACGGAAAGTGGATCTTCCCATATTATCATCTTTTTCTTGAGCTACTGGAGTAGCTGATGTACCACTAGGACTGGATGGAGCAGAGCATGGTGCAGGGCCCTCAGTGCTTATGGTTGGCTCATCTTTATTTTGAAAATTTGGAGTAAATAAGTTTAAAAGTGAAGTTGTCCTTCTAGATGTTTTAGTAACAAATGATTGCTGATCTTTCTTAGCTGAGGTTTTGGGCACTGGTTGGGGCTTATGTGAACCATTAGAAATAGTTGATATTTGATCAGCCTCTGATATAGAATTATTTGCAGAGCCTGGTTTTGGTAGTGTGGGAGGCAGTTCAACAAGATTGGCTTTTTCTATTGCATTATATTTCTCAACAAGAAACTGTTCCAGTAACTTTTCAACTGTAAGCTCTAAGCATTGATGTTTAAAATCTCTATGCACCTGACCCATCATGTCATGGTTGTTTTGAATTATATCAGCATAAACATTAACAAACTGTTTCATTTGTTTCAAATGCGCTTCTTCAACATCCTGAAAATGTTTGCAGGTTTGAGTCATTTTCTTTTCAAAATCTTGTTTTACAAGATTGTACTTTTCAGCAAGTTGTCTATAATCCTCATGAAGCTTCTTAAGCTTAACTTCAGACTTCTCTATGTCCTTTGCAGATGCATTATCTTTGCGCAGTTTTTCTAACTCTGCAGATTTAGTAGTATACACATCTTTAGCTTTTTGCAAGGCTTGCTTTGTGCTTTGTATCAATAAAACAACTTCAAGTGTACTTGACTCTGAATCTTTAACAGCCTTGTGTTTTTTATGTAGTTCTTCTGCATAGCGAGCTACATCCTTAACAAGTTCACTGACTTTTTGGAACATGTGTTGATGTAAATTTGACAGTTTTTCGGCTGAACATTTCAATACGCTCCAGAATGGCGCAAACGTACCTTGAGCACAATTGCTATTGGCCTGCTTAGCAAGTTTAGCTAATAACTTCGAATTCGTTTCCTCAATATTTGAGCGTTCCCTAAGGTACTCAGAGAGTTCTTTGCTGGCTATAAATCCAAATTTCATATTTTGATATAATATATCATATCCATAATGCTCGTTGGCGAAATAATCTACGAAGTTGACACTCATCTTTGCTATTACAAAGAGTTACGATTACAGTTATTCAATATATTGTCACTCACTGACCTGTATTCTAGGATCAAGCTCAGTATCACCATTGTCGTCAGCTGGTATAGTAAATGAAGATTCCTCCATTGCAGACTGCAGTATCTAAGAGAGGAAGCCACCCAATCACCTAAATTACATCACTGACACAAAAGTGTATAGCGTCACCTATACGACACTTGGGATATTGTATCAATTACATATCACTATTCACTGCACTAATTTTATTAATCATATACTAATTGATCAGAAACGCTGGGTACGAGTTGTAAAAAATATTTAATTTATTAATAAAATTTAGAAATTTTCACTTAGGATGACGTCCGCTCTCATGACGTCAAATCATAATAATAGACAAAACTTGTTTTATAATTCCGTTGTAGTAAACGTACAACCAAATGTCAAATAATCGATACTCGATAGAAACCTATAGTCGATACTATTAGTGCTTTTTTATTTCGGGATAGCATAAGAAATTACAAGTACATTAGTTAATAACTTAAAACAATCAATTAATATTTTAATATTATGGTAATATAAAATATTATAATTGAATAGATATGCTTCAAAAGTATACTTAATTAACATGAATTATAAAAAAAATGTGGCTGCGTTTCAAGAAAGGGAATTCAGGAAAGGGGTGGAGCTGAGTGTGGGTAATTTTGGAACCAGGCTATGGAATCCAAGGGGGCAGCAATTGGCTGACTTTATAGAGAAGGCGAGACTTTACAGACTTCTGAAAGCGGCTGGAGAACAGATACTCGTGGTCCTTCAGAAACTCTTAAGTCTCATTTTTCAAGAACGGTGCAACGAAAGACGTATGGAGCAAAGGCGATACGCTTTTTTAAAGACCATAGGCCAATAACCCTTCTAAGTCTCGTCTAAATTCTGTTTTCAAGAGTCAGCTTGAGTCATCTCGCTTCCAGACTTAATAACTTCCAACTTCCCGAAACAAGCAAGATTTCAAAAAAGGATTCAGTATCTTATAACACACACACACACACACACACACACACACACACACACACACACACACACACACACACACACACACACACACACACACACACACACACACACACACACACACACACACACACACACACACACACACACACACACACACACACACACACACACACACTCAGACTACAAACCTTCAATTTGAAATTTCCAGGCTATCCAGGCCCTTCAGCGGTGCCCTCAACAGTGCGTTCACGCGATCACCGTCCGTTCGGGAAACTTCGACATTACTTCTCGTCCAATATCCCTTAACATTTTTCAACTAAACTTCAAAGAATGTTGCCAGTGACGGTGACCTAAGGTACTGAGACGTGGTCTCCTAAACTGCCGTCTGTATGAGACAGCTCAAAGTCCCTTAGCGAGCTATAGAGTGGGCTATGTTTGATTTTTCTCTACGTGATCGGGATGCACAAATAACATCTATTCATAAATACTTAACATAGACCTCAACTACAATGAGTGACGATCTGTGCAAATGTGCGGGATGTTGATGGATGCAGGTGGCTCAGAATTTAGATTCATGGTAGTGTGTAAGAGAAGCCTATATTTAGAGTTGGATTCTATCTGGCTGAAATGATGATGATAATTAAAAATTAAAAATTCATCTTATTTGAGAATTTAATCATAATGCAAACTCATCAGAAAAAGTTTATTCATAATAATTTTGAACAAAAAAAAAACCAACTTCAATAACGCGGAAAGTACAACAACATTATCAACTCCTATAACATTTGAAGATTGCCCTCGATTTCTCTGGGATGCCATGATCAGATCTGGTTTCCTTATCTTGGAATATCTCCTTTCCAACAAAAAAAGAATTATCAAAATTGGGTCATAAATAACGAAGTTATCCCCAAACACACATTAAAAAAATATATATATATATACGGTCGAATTGAGAAACCTCCTCCTTTTTGAAGTCGGATAAAAAAAGGATACATAGTTCATATCATACAATATATACATAGACATACATCAACACCTAACAAACATTGTGAAGTTAAAAATAAGTACATTTTTATTGATTATTAAAGATTTTATTTCATTCGCATACCTAAAATCGATTTGTATAATTACTACAAAAATCTTGACGTGCTTATAACACTGTCTATGCTTATAATGATATAAATTTGAGTAGTACCGCATTGTGTCGCAACTGTCTTTGTTCTCTTTCATACTTAAGTAACTTTGCTTATAGTTAACTTAAGGAAAGGTACACAATGAGTTTCATAGTTGACACTTTATTTAGAAGTATAATGATGCTTTTTCAATTTGTCGAATTTGAGTTTGACGTAAAATAACTTCAATTTGGTCCAGTTTCGTTGTTTCATTGCGAAGGGGTTCTGTTTTAGAAGAATTACTTTCTATGAGTGACATAAGTAATAGTTGCAATTTCTCACCCGAGTTCTTAACTCAAGTTTGTGTGTTTAGAGTTTGTTTTTGAGACGGTGATTGTAGCCAATCTGTATGCAACTGTTACGCGTTGCCTCGACTATGTCTTACCAAGGATCACCATATTCGGGCCCGGGTGACGAGTATGATTTTGAAGACGACGGGTACGACGACTTAGACGAATATAGGGAACAAGAAGACCCATTACCACCAGCACCAGTCGACGATAGTGATGAAGGTATGGTTGTTTTGTTTACGAACTCTATCCTATTTTGGCGTCGTATTACTGTCATTCACATCACAACCTGTTATTCCTGACAAATTACTTTGCTTATAGCTTGTAAACAGAGGTTATATAATATCGATAAGGTTATAAAGTCATCTGAAAACCCCTCATTAATAACTTCCCGCCTTTTGATGACTATCTCGTAGATGACGTAATGAGTTCGATTAAACACCACTTTCTCCACACCGAAAATAATTTTAATAATGATACCTAATAGTATATCAGATATACAAGTTACATTTTTAATGGATAATAAAATTTAGTTTCATTATCAACCAAATATTTTGTTTTAATTAAGCAATCAAGATAATTAATTACATATAAATAAAATGTTCATTTTAATGCATGTTTAACAATTTCCCATATGCTAATTTCAGACACAGAAGAAGCAAGTGAAACAGACATACCTAACAATGATGAACCAGTAGAGATTAAAGAACAGTAAGTGACTTGTTTATTTGTGGAAAATAGTCTCTTCTTCTTCGTCATTCCCCCACTAACGAGGATTGACCATATATAATTTGTCACAATTTGCAATTTCAAAATAATATATTCATCATCAAAAGATTAGCCAAAAAAGTGGATTGTCTACTTTGTATTGGTATTTTGGCCTAGGTGAAACAGTAAACATAAAAATGTTATACAAAATTATTAGCATTAACCAGTATAAGAGTTAAAAAAATAATATACTTTTACAATAGCACTATAAGAACTTAATATAAAGTTTAAAATGATTATTTTTTGTTTATATCAGATTAACAAAAATTTTACTACATTTGTTATTGTAAACTGATACAAGAATAATTCAATAATATTTATTTTAATTTTTGGTATTATTGCTTTATATTGAGTATACTATCCATGGTGGATCAAACATGGACAATCTTCCTTACAGTGATGTAGTCAAAATTTTAATATGCAATTAATAAATTTTATTATACAGTATGTTACCAATTTATTTTTACTTCAATATTTACAGGATGTACCAAGACAAATTGGTAAACCTTAAAAAGCAGCTACAACAATTAGAAGATGGCATTCATCCAGAATTCTTAAGACGGATCAAAAGATTAGAACATCAGCTTCATGAGAGACTAAGGCTTAACAAGATATATAAGTAAGTTAGTTTTATTTTAATGGTCCTTTGTATAAACAGTAATTTGTATAAAATATTAGATTATATTTTAATAATTATATATAATAACAATGTTAGATATATTATTATATTTCTACTAATATTAAATATTGAAAGTCACACTTGACGATAAAGGCACAAGCATACACAATTAACATTTTTTTTAATTTCAATTAGTTATACACATGGTTGTTTTTATTTTAGTCACATGAATTATTTTTGAGACTGTCGGTTTTCACCTTAACAAGGTCCATCACAAAATGCTAAAAAACCTTTTTAAATGTCTGTTAGAAAATAATGTACCTATTTGTAAAAGTTATGTTTACACTGATATTGTCTTTCTGTTTATTATAATTATGACATAATTGAACATGTTGTCACTTATTGAAACTTAGAACAACTTCTATTGAGTAAGAGCTCCCAGTTTAACCCTTTCAAACATTTCCATTTATTACTTGCTTGCAGAGATCACATGCATGATGTGGTGGAGCGTGAATATGTAGCTGAAAAGAAAGCTGCAGCTAAGGAGTTTGAAGAAAAGAAGATTGAACTAAGGGAGAACTTGCTTAATGATTTTGAGGATAAGAGAAAGATGATTGAAAATGAAAGGCATAGTATGGAGCTAAATGGCGATTCCATGGAGGTGAATATGGTTTTAATAATGTTAATTTTATTACTATATTCAATTCCTGTTTCACTGATTCAATCCAAATATGCTTATAAAAATTGTAATATACGACACTCCATTTTAAAGTAAATTGAAGTAACAGTATATAATAGTCCCATTACTATTAACATTTCATAGCAGCGCTGATCTCCATACAGGTCTTTCAAAGAAAATTTAAGTAAACTGATAAACTCACCTGGGTACCACAGGAATTCCACACGATTTTTAAGCAAACCAAAAATACTATTTGTGTGACTTTGGTACTTATTGCAAACATGTTTGTAAATGTTGTTCAAACGAATCATGATTGATACAGGGTGGCTTTTCTAAAGGTGCCCAAATTCATACAGGAGGTTCAGACTCGGTAGTGTAATCGTTTATTGAAATAAAAACAAACATTTTTTTCATAAAATTGCCATTCCATTTCCTAAAAAACAGAACTTGTTGACAATGCGGTAGTCAGTCATAAATGCGTCGTATACTTTTAAACGAACTTGTGGGCGTGTTAGTTATGAATGATCGCGCGTAAAATAAATGAGTTGCCCATAAATCACACACTTTTTGAGATAAGTTCAAATGAATGTAATTAATTAATTACGAGTGATTTTAATATTTATCTATATATTTTTTATATAACATTATTTATGACTAGAATTAAATTAAAAAAATGGATACACTTAGAAAAGCTTCCCTGTATATTGATCCGAGATTATTCGGCCTCGTGTGCTAGAGTAAAATTATATTTCGGTCCTGGATTCGCGTGTCCAGCATGTCCAGCTTTTGGTCCTTCGTGCCGGATGCTGACGTCCAGTATGGCGTTTCGCAGGTGAAGCCGGTGATGAAGAGGATACTGCGGCGGCGCGCCAACGAGCCGGCGCCGGCGCCCGAGAAGCGGCGCAAGCCGCTCGCCACCACGCTCACCTTCCAGCTGGACGAGCGCGACGTGGACGCGGACCTGCGCGCCATCGCGCGCCACTCGCCCCACTCGCCGCCGCCGCAGAGGCACCACGCGCCCGCGCACACCGCCGCGCAGCCCAGGAAGCACCTCAACTCCAACAGCTGTGAGTCGGCGCCGCCGCTGGGCGCGCGTATGACACACACACTAACACAGAAAGCATTCACATACTCACATGTAAAAGTCGAGGCCCCACGCGCCCGCGCACAACTCCGCGCAGCCCAGGAAGCACCTCAACTCCAACAGCTGTGAGTCGGCGCCGTCGCTGGGCGCGCGTATGACACACACACACTAACACAGAAAGCATTCACATACTCACATGTAAAAGTCGAGGCCCCACGCGCCCGCGCACAACTCCGCGCAGCCCAGGAAGCACCTCAACTCCAACAGCTGTGAGTCGGCGCCGTCGCTGGGCGCGCGTATGACACACACACTAACACAGAAAGCATTCACATACTCACATGTAAAAGTCGAGGCCCCCCGCGCCCGCGCACAACTCCGCGCAGCCCAGGAAGCACCTGAACTCCAACAGCTGTGAGTCGGCGCCGTCGCTGGGCGCGCGTATGACACACACACTAACACAGAAAGCATTCACATACTCACATGTAAAAGTCGAGGCCCCCCGCGCCCGCGCACAACTCCGCGCAGCCCAGGAAGCACCTCAACTCCAACAGCTGTGAGTCGGCGCCGCCGCTGGGCGCGCGAATTTAACGCACACACACACACAGGCGCACACAAACACACAGCATTCACATGTAAACGTCCTGGAAGGCGTGTATAGATGAGGGGCAACTGCTTGGTTTTGTATTATTGACGTGCCCGAGATACCTATCCCCTTTCTCGATCGGGCGGATGAGGATGTTAAGCGGTGGACTTGTAAGAAGGTCGCATTAAGTTTACGCGTAAATATCACGCCAGCACTCGATTTATTTAATTGCAAATAATAGTAGTAATTCATCGTAGAATTAGTTGCGTACTTCAAAAAGTTTTTATTATGAAAGTGAACCAGACCTGGAAAATCTATTCGATTCTTTTTTGCACAACTCGTCAACATCTGCTGAATACGTTTTCTCAAAATAAAACTGAAAAAAAACTAAAAAACTGTTGACGAATTCCATAAATGGAGAATCGAAGTAAGCCCTGAAAAGAGTAACGATATTGTTTTAGGTGCCAAATTCATCCGCATAGCAGCCGGTGCACGCTGTTATCATGGAAACTGAACTGGATAGCGACTGCAGACCCTCGACTTAATCTTATTATTTATAACATGTCACAAGCTGTAGGGCATATCGGGCAATCGCAGCGAATATTTTTTTTTATTTGAAACGTTGCCAAGCGTAGACTTACCTGATGTTAAGTCAATACCGCCCATGGACTTCTGCTACACCCGAGGGTTTCAGATGCGTGGACAACCTTTTGAAAATTGGGCTCCGGCCACCTCACTCACGAGACGAGACGCGAAAGTATTAACTTCCACTTTGTGCCGGTCTTCTGTGAGGTCGGGTTACTTACCTGGACGAGCCTGCCCATTCGTGCAATAGCCGAGGCTGCTGTGTGGCCCTACCACCGTAAAATTACCAATTTGATCCAAACGCAACTGTTTAATGACGTTGCAGCTAATGTCTTCATCGACCCGGTTGAAGAAGAGATCAAAAGTGTTTCGGAGCTAACGGTCGGGACCGACAACACTACATACACGTAGTGGTAACGAACAACACAACATACCTACAACTCACAGAGTACAGTTTGTTTATAGGATGTTCTCACCGCTCTTACCTACCACCAAGTAATAATACATGTGACAGTAGTTTGGGCCTCGGGCTGCATATGCATGTGGGGAACCGCTGAAAACCCCGCTGTGGACGCCAGCTGAGGGATCACGGGAGCTTACTTGCCGAAATCTACCGCGGCTCCTCCTGCGCATGGCTTAGATAGCCCCGTCCGTACGGTACCAGGCTCAAGGCAGATTGGAGCCATCGAACTCCTCAGGATCGTTTTACAAAGCACTTAAGACCTGCACCTGTATCGGCCTGCTGCCTCTCATAGCGACCTCGTGCCCCTGTTATTGGTAGGGGAGATGTATTGACATTTAAAGGGCCATGACGAGATAAGCGAGCATCTCTTCGGCCCCGCCTCCGAGTGGAATCCGTCCTCTCTCTCCCGCTCACCAACCTCCATTAGGATCATAACTTTCTCATAGAAGGTGGCTACGGCCCTCCATTGCCCAGCCTTATATCTATCCTGTCTTATTTCAATCTTCGACGACTCACTCGTAAGCCGATAATCCCATCACATGCGTGAATCCATTAACTTGGTTCCACCCGGAGCGTGCAACTAGCTTTTCCACTTTGATACAAGTCGTTGTTCCGTGGCCCGGTCAAGGGAAAAAGGTGTTTGTGTCGCAAGTAATAAGTGCGTTTCTCCCATTACAGCGAAACAATTCAACAACGCAAACCGCGCCTCGGTCAAAGGAAAAAGGTCTTTGTATCGCAAGGAATAAGTGCGTTTCTCCCATTTCAGCGGCGTGCGCGGGCGAGTCGCCGGTGCGGGACGGCGAGGCGGCGGACGCGCGCGTGGAAGACGGCAAGCTGCTGTACGAGCGGCGCTGGTTCCACCGCGGCCAGAGCGTCTACGTGGAGGGGCCGGCACGGGGGCGCGACCTCAACCGCTTCCCGGGCCACATACACGCCATCACGGACGACGCGGTCAGCGGACGTTTTATTTTTACGTGGGGGAATGCCTACGCATACCCGCCCTCGCGGCGACAACAGCGGATTGTGTCGGACTCGCACCTAGGCGCCACGGCAGGGCCACCCCATTTATCTTTTATCACCACGTGGCGAAGTCACCGAGGTATTTGCTTCGTTTCCGGAATCGTGGGTTCGATTCCCACGCGGGAGAACTTTTTGTGTGACCCGCGGATAGTTTTTTCGGACCTGCGTGTTGGTCCGCGTGAAATTAACGTTTGTGAAACTTCCTTACAAACAGGATGTTATCCTAAAGTAAGGCCAATGTTTGTAATCGCCGTTTGGGGGGTCTGGTTATCATCTTTCAAAGAACTTTTTGCTGCAGAAGTCTGCTGTTGCGTAAGTCTTTCACCCATCAGATTTCACATTATTGATGTAGATGATGATTTTCTTTCTCCTGTCATATAGCCGAGGCACAATAGTATTGGCTAGGTTTTTTTTACCATTACCTGTGTTATTACCCACACAAATATGTATCGCGTGTGGACCGAACCCACAATCCCCGGCCCAAAGCCAATGGATCCATATAAGTAGATCGCCATAGCGATTTCTATTGCCACGTGAATTTGCCAACTGGGAAATTACCAGAGTGGTGCCATATTGTATAAGAGGCGAACCAATTCGCCAAGCAATTGTTTGTATCTTGTATACTACTTTGTTTTGTGCTATTTTATGATATACTTAGATACGAATGTTATTATTACAGATATGGGTGAAGAAAACCAACCTGGAGCGAATAAGGATATATGTGTCACAGTTGGCGCGTGGAAAAGTGACGTTAAAGAGACGCGCCTCGTAATGTACAGAGTTTAGTGTTAATACTTACTGTGCAAGACTGTCCGTGTACATAGTTTAGTGCATACGCTAGATTTCTGTTCGTGTGAGAGGATGCAGCAAGTCGGAGCGGCTGTGGAAAGCGAACACCTTCGAGAAACCTCCATCGGTACAGTAAATACAATACGGAATCTTGGTCGATTTAATTCACGAGGCCTGTTTTGTAATGAACTGATGAAAACCTGTTTCTTTCGTTCTGTAAATTGAGTACAATGGTTATTTGTTCAGGTTTTATGTGGGCTCTCCATGAAATTTATGATAACTTAAAATAAAAATAAAAGGAAGATGTCAGCTTAAAAATATGAAAAAGAAATTTCTGATAACTTAAAATTCAATATCGTTTTTTTTGCCATGCAAAAACTAGCGTGAGCGTTCGCAATTCGTTAATATCCGCTTATAAAACTAATTGCAATTTTTTCGGGATAGGTTATTTTTTGAAGCATAATTTTTTTATTGTTTCGTGACAAATAGTACTATTTTTTTTTACTTGTTACGACTTTATTACTTAAACACGTTTTCTTTTGTGAAATACGTTTTATGCGTCCGAATTGTTTGTCGTCAAGTGTTGTTCAATTATTTGCAAAAATTATTATAGTTTCATATTCATAAGTATGGTCAGGACTGAATGCATTTACCATTGCAAAATAATGCCAATGTATTGTTGGAATAACTTTATAAAGTTATTTATTTAGGCTGTTTCTGGACTAAGAGAATTGAAATGAAAATGTTTTAAAATCTCATAAATTGGTATATTTTATGAAATTATTGGTTTAAGTGTGTGTCACTCTGAGTTTGTATTCTGTTTTAAGTATTTTGAAACAGAAAATGTTTACAGTACTAATTGAATCAATTGAATAAAGTAATTGTAAAGTTCGCCATTAAAGAGGTTGTGAAATTTAAACAAAATTTCACTTTCTAGTGGTTGCTCAGTACCTGCTTGTCCTCTATTTATATACACACATTTCATTTCTCGATACTGGTACCACTCAAGTTAACTAAAAACTCCATGAGAAAGTGTGCATGTAATAAAATTTGTTTATTTCCCAATTTTATCACGTCAAACCATAGATCTGTAATTACTAATGAATGTATCTGTTATCTGTAATGAAGTTCTTGATATGATCTGTTACAAATTTACTGCTTTCTTTATATTTTACGTGATAACTGATACCTAAACGTGATTTTGGAATGGGGTGTGCACAGTCCAGGCCAATTTCTGTGATAAAATGTTTCTGTAAATAATTCTTGACGATTTTAATGATTTATAAATGTTGTATCCTATATGAAAGGGTGGGACATTGATGTGAGGGTGTATTCTTCAACTATAAATGAATTGATTGCCAGTGCTTAAAATAATTTATTTTAATTTATAGCATTTACATATAACAGACAATTCACAGAATTTTACTGATAAAAAAAATATATACCCTCTGGTATTCCTTTTTAAATTTCAGTTTAATGGAGTTGTTTAGAAAAATCGGTGTCTTTTCTCATCAGTTCTAAGTATTATATGTGCAAGAGTGCAATGCATCAGGTTGGTTGTGTCTCGAAAACGCGGGTCCTTGAATGTTTAGTTGCTTTTAAACTTTTCTAGTTTGATACTGCCTAAAAGGTCGTAGTTTTGCGACTGAAATGTTTTGGTCTATAGTTAAACAACTTTTTGTCGCTATCAGAGGCGATAGAGCGACACTGATTTGTGTTGCAGTTTTTATGCGATTATTTACCGCCAAACGCTATTAAGGACCGTTGAGTAAGTAATCTTTGTTTTTCTCATCTATAAAAATGTTTGAAAAAGAAAATGATATTTTATCTGTCAAAGGTACTAAGAAAATTTTGCCAAATTGGAAGAATTATGTACAATAATACATCGAATACCAATGCATACAATAAATAATGATTTATCTATTTCAGATTGATTATAAAGGTTATTGAATGTACTTCGAAAATTAAATAATTGTTCATTAAAATATATAAAATAAGGAATTTGTTTCTGTTTTTCATGAATTTGTATTACTCCTAATTCATCTGGTTGATTGAGTTATTATTCCAGTTTCATCAATAATCGTTTATTTGGCGGGACTTATTGTATTTAACACCTATAATTTACATTCATAAAGCTGCGTTTTTGATCCTTCTCCCAACCTTGGTTGGAAATGCTAGGGATGAATTGTACATTGTAAATATCCATATAAGTCTATTGATGTATTATATTAATCAAATGCCGTGTACAGGAGCTGGTTTTTTGACTGACGCCTTTTTTTTAATTTCGGAATCCCTTTTTTTCTGTATTTTGTGATTTAATTATTATGTGTAAATGTGAATTGTAAATATGAATATGTGCAGATTATTTTTACGAATGTAGATGATATTTGAGAACAAGATCTTGAATTATATGTACTATATAAGTGAGATGTCTTTTCATTGCTTTGATAATATTTCCATTATATGTCTAAAAAGTTTAAGACGATCCTCCGCTACATGGAGTATCGATCTATGCAAATGTGCTGGAAGTTGATAGATACAGGTGGCTCAAGATCATGCTTTCGTGGTGATAATCTATGGGGGATCTCAAACGGACCTGAAATGATGATGATAAAGAAAGGAAACCCATACAAATAAATATTTCAGCAGTCATTGTTACTACCATCTTTGATGGTGTGACTTGCTTGTTGTCGAATTAAGCGAATTAAGCGCGGGACGCATTGCCGGCAACCGCACACCGCTATATGCTTAGTGGGGAAGAGTTTGGGCAACTTAAAGGTGGTAGGGTCACGCAGCAGCCTCGGCTCTTGCACGAATGGGCAGGCTCGTTGACCGTGAACGTGGTCACTCCTACATGTGTAGGGCGAACCAACATTTATATCAAAATTCGATTGAAAGAGTGAACTACCGAAGGTTGAAGAAGTTTGCAGCGATACCATCAAGGATGATCCGCGAAGCTATTGAAGAAACCTAATTACAACCGAGTAGATGGTTAGAAATTACAATTGACAACTTTTGCTCTATTATTGAAATAAATCCGTCACAATCATGCTGCATGACCTCAAGACAATATGAGATTTTTCTGCGTCGATCTGACAAACAAAAATATCGCGGATTTTTCTAATTTTTAGATCGAATAAAACTATTTTCAGTTGTAAACGAATTTTCCGATTCGAGTAAATAAAAGATCAATTTACGGGTACATAATCATTTGAATTCTAAAAATATTTAATTAGATAAGGATTAATAAACATGATATGGATGTCAACATAGGATAATAATATCCGATAAAGCAAGAGTACGTTGATACGTACCTAATCTTGTTAAATCGGACTAATTTGAACAAAAAGGGACTATTGTTGCTCAACTATAATCGTTAGACATACATCATCGCGGACTTTTTTGTAGGTAATTATGTTATTTTAAATATTATGACATTAAAACAAACTTACAAACAATCGAATCTCTCCTCTTTATAATAAATGTAGATAATCACTAGAATCAGTAAAATCCCCTATGCAAAACCTACCGCAAATTTGCCAGGCCAACCAAGTTCCTTGCAAAATTGAGATTTAATGACATTCGACTACTTACGAATCAAAATCCCAAGGCTTGGAGACGGTTGGAATGCTCTAAAGTGGAGATTATAAATTTCTCTTTTTCTTTAAGTTGTACACCGACGCCGCATATACAGCATGTCGTTACCATCGCGACTATAAATGAACACACGTCTAACGCTACTTGCCAATAATCATAAAAAAATATTAACATTAAACAAAATCCATAATTAAAAAAAATTTTTTTTTCTACATGTTTTAATCACCAATAAGTTGAAAGCTTTTGTTTGAAAAACCTGTAAAATATAATCGGTTCACGTAGCTTTCTCTAATGATTAAATAAACCAAGGCAGGCAGTTTCTGTCCAGTTCAACAGTAAATAAAACAAAATAATTTACCCGGAAAAAATACCTTGCAAGGAATTCAGGATGCACCTAAAAAATCGTGATATTTGTGTGTAAGATATTTTTAACCACTGTTTAAAAACTAGTTTGTGTACAAACAAGCTCAAACATTCCACAAATGAAGTTAAAACATCAGTAGTGAAACAATAGTATCTACGTTGAATATTGCGGTTCTTACTATAAAATGTTGATGCAAAGATAATGTTATTTAGCTATAAGTAATTGCACAATGTTTTCATATATGTTATATATGTTATGCGTTAATTTAGTGCATGGTCTTGCACATATCTTGCAATTCTGGGTATCGACGTAGGTATGCCTCTTAGCGACACTACAGATATACTCAGCGCGACAAAAATGACTATAGTCGTGCAACTTAAATCCACGTTAATTATTTATAACACAAATTCCATACAAACAAGTTTACATACAGAAAATCTAAATGAAACCAAGATCTGGATTTCGCCAAGATTCGATTTACAAAATAATGTTAAAATAAATATGTTAATCTACCTTTCTTAAACCAAAAAGTGTTAGTAAAATATTTAAATAATATATATAATAAATATAAATAATAAATATATAAATATAATATATTTTATCACGACAGTAATTCTTCCTGCAGTCAAATGTTCTTTTTAACAACCTAACGTAGTGACAACAGTTTATTGTTTATTTGTTCACAAACACTTCAAACCACAATTATCTTGTTTAGTATTGATTTAAAATGTCGAGTAGAAGGTGTAAACAAAGTTCTGATCGTTTTTGTTATGTTTGTGGACAGTTTATATTTTCAAAAAAGGGAAAACCCATTGTAGATTCTTTAAAAAGTGCATATATACATTATTTTCGATTTCCTGTTGCAATTACAAAGAAATTGTTACCGATTTATTGGAAAATTTTCAAATTTTAAAACTAATTATGACTTCAATAGTTTTGGTTGTACTTTTAATAAGTCTATTATAAAAATACTATTATAAAATTTTAAAAGTGTTAACTTAATTGGAAAATTATTTCTG